TTTTATCTTTCATCCATAATTCCTAATTACCGTTGAAAAGTGTAGCCTTTGGTCGGAAGCCCTAAGACCAAGTTAGATTGTGGACGAGTTTTTAAGTAGTATTTGAAGCACTAGTCTAATTTGAGCAACACATCCACCTAGCTCGTAGAATGTTAATATATATTTTTCAACTTATAATTATAGATTAGAGAAGCCAAAAGCAACTAGACATGTGTGTGAAGCTAGAGCAATCACGGAGTGTCCAGAAGAGATGGGAGAACTATATATTATTGGGCATATATCTACGAATCATATTGTGGTTTGGTGTCATGATCTATTTCTCTATTTTATTGGTTAAAAAGAGAGAATTCGGCTACAGTGAAAGATATATAATATTCTATGAATAATTAATAACTTTTTTTTTTGAAGGGATAGTGAGCAACATTTTATCTCATGGAGAATTTACGTGTACGGCAAGTTTTCCTTGTTTTGTTTCAAGAACCCACTCAAGTAATCTGAAATGCTTGGATAAAAAATTGTTGACGGTGTTTTTTCGACAACTCGTAATTACCTCTTTAAAAACACTCGCGGTTCAATTAAAGATAAAAACTGAAAAATAATGTAAGGAGACAGTTGTTTTATAGTGGTTCGGCAATAACTCCTTGCCTAATCCACTTGTGTATGCACTAATATTTCAGCCGATTACAAGCTTTCTCTTAGTAATGAAATGGTGTCTAACCCTTTTCTGGGTTCTTTTGGCTCTATTTATAGGCATTTACACGTGACTAAGCCTTCTCCGTTCCCAAGGAGGAAGCCATCTTCCATCCTCGATATGCGGAAGGGTAGGTGAGTTTTCATGATGACAATCTCAAGAAATACGGCTGACCCCTCTCATTTGCCGCACGATCTACTGACTCCTGCAGTAGCCGTTGGATCGATGCTTCCTTCCCCGAGTTGACAAGACCGTTGACGGGTTTGACTCGGCAGGATGCCTCAACACAGTGGCTCTCAGATGTCGAGTCACTATCCTCGACGCCTCTCTCCACGTGTGATCTCTCGACGCAAAGGGCACCTTAGCTACAGCCGCTCCCTCGATGCCAGCGACAGATTCCCAACGGGGAGTCCTCGGTGCCTGGCGTCGAGAGAATGGTTGATTCCTCGACCATGGCGTAACAAAAATAAAAAATAAAACACACTGAAATGAAGCTTGGTTTGGCCTCCTAAAAACTCGGGCTCAGCTTGAATTACGTACCCTTTGACTGAAGTGGCCGAACCCAAATATACTAGCTTAACTTGAGTGTAATTCCCTCGGTCATAACAATGTAAGAATTTAAACTTATACACTTTAAAAGATATTTATCTATTTATCTCCTTAACAAAGTGTTGATGAAGCTTATAATGTACAAGAAAAGGAAGCAGTTTATAGTGCCACGGTTGAGTGCGAGCTTTTCCATCTGGGGATACCTCATCTCCGCATCGAGGAGGCGCTTGCTAGTGTAATACACCGGCAATTGCACCTTCTTCTCCTGGCGGGTCACAACCGAACTAACGGCGTGTTTCGAGACCGCCAGGTAAAGGCTCAGCACCTCCCCGGTCACAGGTTTGGACAGCAGAGGGGGTTTCCCAAGGTGTTCCTTCAGTTGTTGGAACGCCTGTTCGCACTCTTCCATCCATTGGAATGGCTTACTTCCCCTCAAGGTGTCAAAGAATGGTACGCATTTATCCGTGGATTTTGAGATAAACCTGTTAAGTGCAGCCACACAGCCTGTCAGCTTCTGGACCTCCTTGGGCTTCCTTGGCAATCCCATGTCGAGGAGGGCCTGAATCTTTTCTGGATTGGCCTCAATTCCTCGACTGCTGACCATGAAACCCAAGAATTTCCCTGAAGCGACGCCGAGGGCACACTTGCGGGGGTTTAGCTTCATTTTGTACGTTCTGAGGACGCCGAACATCCTCCTAAGGTCCTCCACATGGTCTTCAGTCTTCCTGCTCTTTACCAGCATGTCGTCAACGTATACCTCCATTGACTTTCCTATCTGTCCCGCGAACATTCTGTTGACGAGGCGTTGATAAGTTGCTCCAGTGTTTTTAAGACCGAAGGGCATCACTTTGTAACAGTAGAGACCTCTGTCGATAACAAACGTCGTATGCTCTTCATCGCGGTCGAGCATTGGTATCTAGTTGTACCCAGAGTATGCGTCCATGAAGCTCAGTAGTTCGTGTCCCGCCGTAGCGTCGACCAGTTGATCGATTCTGGGTAGTGGAAAGCTGTCCTTGGGACACGCTTTGTTCAGGTCACTGAAGTCGACGCACCTTCGCCACTCCCTGTTGGGCTTTCGTACCAGTACGGGATTTTAAACCCATTTGGGGTACAAGACTTCTCAGATGAAGTTGTTTCTGATCAGCTTGTCGACCTCTTCCCACAGGGCCTCGTATCGCTCGGCGTTCATGGATCGACCCTTCTGTCTCTTAGGCGGGCACTTCTCGTCGATATTCAGCCTGTGACACATGATGTCAGTGTTGGGAATGGTGTCCTAGAAGCATGAGATGTAATAGGATATTTATTATTTATTTAATAAAAGAGTTTATTCATGATTTTATGTGCATATATTTATGAATATTTTATGAATATCAATAAAAATTCCATGATTATTTATGTAACCTTAAACATTGTATATAAGTGTTATATACAAGAGGATAATGTTTAAGGATAATAATAAAAAAGTAATGTTCATAATGAATTTAAATTAAAGTTTGGAATCTTTAATTAAAACATTATTAATACATGTCATTCCCATTTAGAATGGAACGGTGTTATCCGCACTGTTAATATAGCGAGATATTGAATGAGTGTATTTCGCATAATGAGATTATGTGGAACAAGGACACAGACACAATATGAATTTCTAATAATTTCGTTAAGTATAGAAATTCTAATTGAGTCTACCGATGGTCATATATAGGATGATCGTAATCCTGAGTTCTTAACAGAGTCCTATTTATGGATTTGTATCTTTTGATTTGCTCGGTACGGATTCTGAGATCCTGAATCCTATTCCTTGTATTTTGGAGACATGATGAAGTAGGTAGCCGGGAATGTTATTACACGAGATGGAATCCATTCCTTCTTAAGAAAGAAGTAGATAAATAATTCTCTTGAGGGTTGATTCGGTACTTGGACCAGTAGGAGCTCCAATTTATGAATGTGTTTTATGAATCACTGTCCATTAGAGAATCAATGGTACTCAAGGATAAAAAAGTAATTAGAGAGGTTA